GAGATTGGTTTCTGCTTAATGACCGAGTCTTTTAAAAAAAGTGACAAGAGGACTTCTCTCCTTGTTTTGATGACCTTGACAGTTTTGAAGAATACCGATCCAGTTTTTGTCAAATGTTCCCCGCTTGGGGAATTTTTGTCATGATTAGACTAGGACTATGGATTATTTTGGGAGAAAGATCACAGAGGCAAAGAGCCAGTTTTCATGACATCATGTCAAAGGCACATACTGTCAACATGACTGTTGCTGCTGGAATTGACCTTGATCACCTGGCGGAGGTAGTGTTTGTCAGCCTCGTCCAGTGTAAAGTTACCTTTCCCCCGCTTCCCATACCATCCTCTTTGGAAAGAAGTCACCAAGCGCAGCCCACACTTTGGGGGTGGGGGGTGGAGTGTGCTTTACATGTTGAATTGGAGAAGAAGGGGCCATGGGAGTAGGAAACTCAGCAATCTGAGAACACGGGATTGAGGCTGGACTCATGCGGAGAGAGAAGGGGTGACTAAGAGATGTGAGAGTTGACCAAATTGGGTGGGAGATGAAGAAGAGGGTGGAATCAGGGATGATGGCAAGTTTCCCGGCGTCATTGATTAGGAGATTGGGTGTGACAAGCACTGCCTTCGTTGACTGCCAACTCTTTCTTTCTTGGCTGGGTCACCTGGAGTGAATCACTTCCTTCCTCTGAGTCTCAGTTTGTCCAGTTGTAAAATGGGGTCAGCAGTCCCCGTTCTCCCTGCCTCGTAGAGCTCTTGGGGGGGTAAAATGAGATGATGCAGCAGTAAGGGCTTTGAAAGCCACCAAGCACCCCTTGCTCGGGTGTGGTTTCCAAGGCCGACTGGGGGAGTGGTGAGAGAAGGGCACTTGGGAGGGGGAATTTGATACCTGGGAGATTCTGAATATTTCAGATAACCTGGGGCAAGTTGTAACTCATTCTGAACGCTGTCATAGGTTTGGGATACTCACCTGCTAAGAAGACTTTTATCTCAAATATGCATTCTCAGAGTTCTGCTTCTGGTGGTCTAGCTCCCTGGTCTGTCCCTCCGTGGAGGTAGCCTGGGCAAGACAAGGCTGGTTCCAGATCAGAAGGAAGGGCTCTGCCTAATTTTTGTGGCCTTCCTCTTACAACCTGTAATCGTCTCTGCTTGGGGACACCGAAGGTTACTGGGATTTCCTTAATGGTCTGAATCCCCCAGTCTCCTCACCAAATAGGCATTTCAAAAGTGATGCACCCCAAATGGAACTTTGGTTCCTGTGCTGGGAGAGACATGAGACTTCTCAGCCTTGCAGCAGGCTCTTTTACCTGAGGACCCAGAATCCCTCCAAATTGGACCGTGTGCAGTGGGGGGATGGCTCTACCTTTTCAGGCAAAGAGGCTCTTGGCCCTTCCTATGTATCTCCTTATTTTTCAGAAAGTGTGCAGCCATGCTTTTGATTTTTCATTGTACTGCTCTGATTTTAGCAACGAATTGATGAGGCATGGAAGGCTTTAACCGGATCTGCCCGAGTTGCAGGGTAAATCATTGACTACTAGGTACAGTGCGAAGAGCTGGGAAGTGTGCCTCTGCCAATAACTCCCTGGAAACTTTGGGGAAGAGATGTAAGTTCTTTGCTCCCCGTTTTCCCTATCAGTAGAAAACGTAGGGACCACCCAGGCTCTGAAAGATGGAGTGATCAAGTTAAAATGAGCAACAGAAGCCAGCTGGCAAATAGGAGGAGTGTGGAATTAATGTCATCCCTACATTGCAACTGACTCAGCAGATTTCAGAAATGAAGACTTGAGCCAAGGAACATACTTTTTGGTATTAACCAAACTGCCAAAGGCTGTTATGTAAAACGAATCTCCTTATTAATCTTTAAGAAAGAGAGAGGAGAGATTCTTTTGTCTATACTGATCTGAGTTGGGGTGAAATAAACACCACGTCTCTTTTGGTCTTCGGATTCTGTCATTCCCTAATGAGAATAGCCCATTTCTTTCTTTCTTTTTTTTTCCCTTCTTTTTTTTTATTGATTTCAGAGAGGAAGGGAGAGGGAGAGAGAGAGACACATCAATGATGAGAGAGAATCATTGATCGGCTGCCTCCTTCTCCCCCCCCCCCCACCTCCCCCCACTGGGGATCGAGCCCGCAACCTGGGCATGTGCTCTGACCGGGAATCAAACTGTGACCTCCAGATACATAAGTCGATGCACAACCACTGCGTCACACCGGCCAGGCCAGCCCATTTCTTCACGGGTGGGTTCTGATATGCATCTGCCCAGGTTGACGGGTGCTGGGAAGAAAGGCAAGTGAACACGATAGAGTCTCTGCTATCTCGGGTGAGAACAGAGGTCACCGCTGGGCAGGGAGGACTTTGCAGTGTCATATATATTTCCAAAGGGAACTGCTTGCAAAATGCAGATGCTGATCCCAATTCTGACCTTTGTGGCTGGTGCCAGCAATCGCACTGGCACCTTCGTTCAGACACAGGGAAGAGCCAAGAAGTGAAATGATATTTTCCTTCCCTCATCATTACTCAGCATGGCTTGCCCGCTTCGCTATAAAAAACTCAAGTGTCGAGAGAAATGGCAGGGCAGTGCCGTTGTTCTTATCCAGAAATGCATTCTCCCTTGTAATCAAGAGATCCACTGGGCTCAGCATTCTTTCTGAAGAGGATGGTCTTGTGAAGTGCTCCTTCACTCTCACACTTATCTGTGACGTGCTTAGCCATATTGTCTGAGTTCTCAAGGGAAATAGCTCCTAGCATGCAAAGGAATGCCCTGATCTCATTCCAACAACAGATCCCCACTCAGTCCAGTGTGGCTGAGGAAACTGCATGGTGCTAATTTTACTACATGGCGGCCCCCAGGGTTCTGGTTGGGGGTGTAGGCACAGCCACCTTGAGCATCACCAGTTGGGCACCGTGTCCAGCCAGCGTCACTATCACACACAGTGTCTGCTCCTTTGTAAGCCGAGACCTACTGCTGCTTTTAGAACTGCACTTGAGCTTGAGCTGGAGCACAGCTCAAGTATTGCCTGACTTATAATAATTACCTGATTAATGACAATATTTTGATGTCGACAAATAGCATGGGAGGAACATGAGCTCAGGAGTTGGAATGGCCTGGGTGTAGCTCTTTTAGCTTCCACTTCCTGTGTCTCTGAGGCTCTGTTTTCTCATCTGTCCAATAACAATATTACCCACCTCATGGACAGGGGAGTGGGGAAGGTGGAAGAGAGAGGGGGGTAGTGGGTATAATAAAACAACTTATATGTAAGCACCTAGCATCATGCCTGGCATGTAGTAGATGCTCAATAAATATGAGTTTCCTCATTCTTATAGGAAGCAGGAATTAGCTTAAAAGAGCAACTCACATGTTCTCCACTAGCACTCAGAGTGTATATTGTTAACAGAAACTGTTTTTAATGTCCGGCGAATATTAAAAGTCGATGGTTGTTTAGACATCTTGAAATGATGCCCCTCCTTCATTCCTGTAGCTCATACTGGCTTCTGTCGCAAACACAGCTTTCCAAGAGAGATCCCAGCAGGCAGATAAGGAAATGCAGGGGTAGCTCAATGTTGGTGCCTTTGCCCGACACTCCCGGGGGCCAGCACAGAGACTCCGGATCAGGTGTTCAACCCGAAACAGCACCTGCTGCTCACAAGAACAACCTTGTTTCTCAGAATGTCGCTGATAATGGATTAGTTGGACTGTCCTGTTCCAACTCTTTCCAGGCGAAAGGAGTCGTGACCGTGGGCCAGGGGAAACAGTGTGCTATTATGCTTGGGGGACAGTGAGCTCCTGGCCGTAGGTGCTTTTCCAAATCGAGTTTCAGAAATATCTGCCCACATCTCTCCCCCATCTCCTGTCCAACCCGGTTTTACTGCTTGAGAGAGAAAAAAAAATCATCTCTGTTCTTTGTGTCGGTTGATTAATTTGGGGTTTATTGTTCTTATCCCGTATCACGCTCACACAGCTACTTATGTAATCCGTCTTATATGGCACACGGTTCTTCCTGCCAGGGACCCAACTCAGAAAAGGCACTTTCTAGCGGAGAGTGCCGCTGCCTTCTCTGGCTGGAGAACGGCAAGTTGCGTGAGGACCCCCGGCTAGTTCAAGGCCACGGGTGTGCTCTCGCTGAAGTCTCTCTCAGCCCTTCGTACAGGGGAGGTTGTGAGTCCTGTTCCCACGCCGGGCAGCGGTGATATTCTCGGCCAGCCACGCTCTGGAAACTGAGAGGATAGTCCCACGTGATTTTGGAGCTTGAAAAGACCTTTGCCATCATCTGATCCAACCACCTTTTCTTGCAGGAGGGGAAACTGAGGCTCAGAGAGGATCACGTGATTGCTAATGTATTTAGTTTCTTAAATTACTGCCTGCAGTGTGTGTATCAGGAACTGTGCACATACAGGAGGCTCACAGCAGGCTTCCGGAAGGTTAACTGAGTTGCCAAAGGAACTTCAGGCATGGCTCTGGTAGAGTAGATGAGAAGCCAGCCAGCACATGCTAACTAAACAAACACCGACTGCATCCTTTGGTGCGTGAGCATTCTGCTGCGTCCTGAGGATCTGGAAGAAGGAAGGAAAAGTACAAATGGGTTTGTACTTTTTAAAAAAAAACAAACACAAAAAACATGAGTTTAAGAAATGGTTCCCATCCTCCAGGCATGTACAGTGCCGTGAATTTAAAGACCTGTTACAAAGCATCGCACCTGACAAGATCACATAGTGAATGGCCCAGTGAGGAAGGCCTAGAGAAGTTTGAGAGGAAGAAAGAACTGCTGGTTCCCAGTGGCACACGCCCCGTGTTTTCCCTGCTGGACTGTGAGAGCCACAGCTCTCTCATTTCATGTGCGGATCCCCGGCGTGATGGCCTGGGGGGAGGGGGGGGAGGGGTTCGGCTCACTCTGATGCATTACTATGTGGCTCATTTGATACCAACCTTAGGGGGATATTTATGCACGCCCATAGCGACCCCTGTTGTAGGAGTTCTGTCTGCTCACCTAGATCTTTTCTTTTTCTTCCAGTGGCCCACCCTCAGGACCCTCACCACCCATCCGAGAAGCCCGCCATTCACTGCCATAAATGCGGGGAACCGTGCAAGGGAGAGGTGCTCCGGGTCCAGACCAAGCACTTCCACATCAAATGTTTCACCTGCAAAGGTACGGGGCCTCCAGCTCCCTGGCTGCGTGGCATGTCGCAGCCAGTGCTTCCCTTGGGGTCTGCCCCGTCCCCTCTCCACACCGCCTCCCGGACGAGGAGTGAGCATGCTCAGAGCCCAGGAGTCACTTAGCTTCCCTAGTGTGGGATTGGATGAGACTCAGCAGGCAGACTGGGTCCCCCCAACACCAGGGATGCACAGGCCTTTGGGTGTTAACTGAAGTTCCAGGTTCTCGGAGGGGGGCACTAATTATAGGGGAGCCGTGAAAATGCAGTTATGTATTTTGAGCTTTTTATTTTTCCTGTGAAATGAGGGATTCCTACCACAAAGTAACTTTGTCCCAACAGCTATTATTTAGAGGAGGGCTGGAAGACTGGTAAGGTTGGGTTGCTGAGTCACTGGCTCCTGTGGGACATGTGGGGTGGGCGTGTAAGGGGTGTGTGTGTGTGTGTGTATGGTGGTGGTATGTATTATGGTGTGTGGTGGTGTGTGTGTGGGGTGTGTGTGTGTGTGTGTGTGTTGATGTGTGTGTATGGTGTGTAGTGGTGTGTGTGTATGTAGTGTATGATGTGTTTATGGTGTGTAGTGGTGTGTGTGTGGTGTGTGTATGGTATGTAGTGGTGTGTGCGTGTAGTGTGTGGTGTGTGAATGGTGTGTAGTGGTGTGTGTGTGTAGTGTATGGTGTGTGTGTGGTGTGTAGTGGTGTGTGTGTAGTGTGGTGTGTGTGTGTGTGTGTGTGTATGGTGGCGGTGTGTATTATGGTGTGTGGTGGTGTGTGTAGGGGTGTTTGTGTGTGTGTGTGTGTGTGTGTGTGTGTGGTGATGCGTGTGTATGGTGTGTAGTGGTGTGTGTGTGTAGTGTATGGTGTGTGTATGGTGTGTAGTGTGGTGTGTGTGTGTGTGTGTGTGTGTGTGTGTGTGTGTGTATGGTGGCGGTGTGTATTATGGTGTGTGGTGGTGTGTGTAGGGGTGTTTGTGTGTGTATGTGTATGTGTGTGTGTGTGTGGTGATGCATGTGTAGTGGTGTGTGTATGGTGTGTGTAGTGGGGTGTGTGTGTGTAGTGTGTGGTGTGTGTGTATGTGTGTGGTGTGTGTCTATGGTGTGTAGTGGTGTGTGTGTATGTAGTGTGTGGGATGTGTGTGTGTGTGTGTGTAGTGTGTGTAGTGTGTGTATTAAGAAGTGAGCATTAAGCAAAAATACTTGGAAGGCCTCCAAGCAGAAAAATACATCCCATCCAGGAAGCTACCAACTTGAGGTCAATTTCCATTAACAAGCCTCCCTTTGGGGCTTAGAACTGTTGGCATCGTGGTATCAAATATGCTGACCTGTAATTCTGGGGCCAGAGCCTGGCTGAGTGGGGAGAGAGAGACATTGCTTTGTGCTTATTTGAAAAATAGGTCACTTGAGTTGAAGGCATGTTGGGGTGGCTGAGGTTGGCGTGGGGGATGTAGGAAGAGAGAGAGAAGAGGGGCAACTGTAATCCCACTCTGCCTCTTTACTCTGCACCCTGCACGTGGTACCCAACCTCATCCCTGGAAACCGTGTTTCGTTTTAAGTCTGTTAGGTACAGGGCTCAGCATTGCTATCTTAAGCCCTCCATGGCCGGGGGGCTGTCAAGCAGACTCCAGGCTGCCTAGAGACCCTCAAATACATGGACAAAGGAGAGACAGGGCTTTTCTGATGTCCTGTTTCTTGCATTGAGCATCATCTTTTCAGGAGAAAGAGCACAAGCATAGAGCTCGGGTGAGAAGATGCAAAGGGAAGGGGACATGAGCTTAATTCCCATTGAACATGACACAGATTACCAAAGGCTGTAATGCACCCTCGAGAGAGTCCCCAGTCCGCCTGAGAACCCCTGTGAGAAGTACGACAAGTCCCCAGTTTTCAGGCAACTTAAGGCAGCCATCAGGAAACACCAGAGTCACACCCAGGGTGCTGACTGGGCTGAGACTCTGTGTGGCTGGAGTCCTGCCATTGCCACGAAGCAGCTCTGTGATCTCAGGCAAGTCCCCTGTCTCCCTGGGGCTCCATGCTCTTGTCTGTAACATAAAAAGACTAGACCATGGCTATTTAAATGGACCCAGGTCTGAAGTCCGCTGATTCCATATGCACATAACTGTCTATGTGCATAGAACCCGAAGTACCGAATGGGAGCCTCTGAGATAGCAGGTCAGAGAGTAAATATTTTCCGGTTACATCCAGCTCAACTACCTTGGAGTCAAGAATTATATTTTGCTTTACTTTGTGCTCAGAAATTTCCTGAGACATGTCTCGAGGGGTAGATTTGGTATGAAATCAATACAGTCTGTATGTGTAGTTGAACATACAAAGCATTAGTCCCAGGTGTGGGTGGTCACTGTTCAGTACATCAAGGTGTTAGGAGACAATTTTGTTTAATCCCATCAGCGGGGAGAAGGGGTGCTTCTTTGCTTTTTTCTCTTCTAGTTTATATTTAAGGACTGAATGCAAGTTATTTGTGTAGGAAAGTTGTACTATATACTTTGCTTCATGCTGTCAATATGAAACAGCCTTCAGTGCTCTTATCTGTTGTATCTGCTAGACAGACGTGTAGCTCTGTAGTCCATGATCGATAGCTTCACTTACACTCCTTCTTTTCAGAAGATCATGTTACTGTCTAGTAACCATTTGAGAGCATACGTCATAGGAAGCATTTCATCAATCTAGTTGACAAGCTATGCCATTGGAAACATTAATATTCGAGTTCCAAAGAAAAGTATGGTTTTTAAAAATTTATCTTTATTGTTGAAAATATTACAGATGACCCTTTCCTCCCCTATCCCATTGACCCCTTACTTCCTCCTCCCCTCCTTTCCCCTCCCCAGGCCTTCATCCCGCTATTGTCTATGTTCGTGGGTTATTCATATATGCATGTAAGTTCTTTGGTTGATCTCTTCCCTTCCTTCACCCCTTTCCCTCTGAGGATCCTCAGTCTGTTGCATTCTTCCATGTCTCTGGATCTATTTTGATTGTCAATTTGTTTGTTTTTTTAGATTCCACATATAAGTGAAATCATGTGATAGTTGTCTTTCTCTGACTGACTGACTTCACTTAGCATAGTACTCTCCAGGTCCTTCCATGCTGTCTCAAAGGGTGAGATATCCTTCTTTTTTACAGCTGCATAATATTCCATTTTGTAAATGTACCACAGCTTTTTGTCCATTCATATACTGATGGGCACTTTGGCTGTTTTCAGATCTTAGCTGTTACAAACAATGCTGCTGTGAACATAGGGGCGCATATATTCTTCCCGATTGGTGTTTTTGGTTTCTTAGGATATATTCCTGGAAGTGGGATTATTGGGTCACATGGCAGTTCCACTTTACTTTTTTGGGGAAACTCCACACTGGTTTCCATAATGGCTGTACCAGTCTACATGCCCACCAGCAGTTACTGGGGTTCCCTTTTCTCCACATCCTCACCAGCATTTGTTATTTGTTGATTTATTGATGGCAGCCATTCTGGCAGGTGTGAGGTGATACCTCATTGTCATTTTAATTTGCATCTCTCTGATGATTAGTGACATTGAGCATTTTTTCATATGTCTCTTGGCCATTTGTATGTCCTCTTTGGAGAAGTGTCTGTTTAGGTCTTCTGCCCATTTCTTGATTGGGTTGTTTGTCTTCCTTTTGTTAAGTTGTATGAGTTTGCTTGTTCATTCATTCATTCACCTTATTGAGCACCTACCACATCAGTCTAGGCCAGCCGTGGGCAAACTACGGCCCGCGGGCCGGATCCGGCCCGTTTGAAATGAATAAAACTAAAAAAAAAAAGACCGTACCCTTTTATGTAATGATGTTTACTTTGAATTTATATTAGTTCACACAAACACTCCATCCATGCTTTTGTTCCGGCCCTCCGGTCCAGTTTAAGAACCCATTGTGGCCCTCGAGTCAAAAAGTTTGCCCACCCCTGGTAGGCACTGGGTATAACAATGGACAAAACAGATAAAAATTTCTGCCCTCAAGAAGTTTACTCTCTAGTAGGAGGTAAATATAACTGAATAATTATATCAAATAATGGCATAAAAGCTTGGATAGAAGGCAGAATTAACCAGGTGGTGGGGTGGCCTATGAAATTCCCAGCAATTAGACTTTTCTGTAGAACAGCTTCATTCAATGTAAAATTTAGGTATGAAATGCTCAGCTAAAGAGTAGCTATTAAAATGTATGTTCCAAACATATCTGACTAGTAATTTAGAGATGGAAAAGTCATGGTATCTAGATATGTCCTATGAATTTTGAAAGAAGAAAGGGTATAGAACTCTCTGTTGTATAGTTTTCTGCACCCATAAGTTCAAAGGGATATGCCATAGACTGAATTATTTTATTCCCTCCCAAATTCATATGTTGAAACTCAATCCCCCATGTGATGGTATTTGGAGGTGGAGCTTTGGGAGATAATTAGATTATGGGGGTAGAGCCCTCATGGAGGGGATTAATGCTCTAATAAAAGGAGGTCCCTTATTTCTTCTGCCATGGGACCCAGAGAGAAGATAGCCATTTGTGAACCAAGAATCAGGCCCTTGCCAGACACTGAATCTGCAAGCACCTTGGTCTTAGACTTCCCAGCCTCCAGAATTGTGTGAAATAAATTTCTGTTGTTTATAAGTCACCCAAATTTTGTTATCACAGCCTGAATATTAATCAGACAATGAAATAATTATACAAGTATGATTTACCACTGTGGTTGGTGCAATAAAGGGAAAATGAAAGGAGGTGCATGAGCAACAATGTGAACTTGCAGCAGGAGGATCTTGGTGTGTCTGTGGTGGGGCAGGTGGTCAGGGAAGGCTCCCCGCACCCCCATTTCCAGAAAGAGAAGTTTGAGCTGACAGATAAAAGAGGGAATTACAACAACCACTTAATTCCTTCTAGTAAAAAAGTCAACAACGTGGACTTCATAATTCCAAAAGCAGGTTTGCATTCTTTCCATGCTAAAAGTCACTTAATTTTTGCATAAAACCTGAGAATATCAATACTT